TAAATGTAAGTCCAAAGACACCTAACTGCATGATATATGGTGAATGTGGCAGATTTCCTATGTATATTAATTCTCAAATAAGATGTTTAAAATATTGGTTTAAGATTCTAAATATAAACGAACAACGTCTGCTAAAACTAGCTTACAATATGCTTTTAAATCTGGATAATTTGGGAAAAAAACTTGGGTAACTGATATCAGAAATTTATTATTTTCTCACGGTTTCGGTTTCTTATAGATGTGAGAGACAATTGGCTATATGAACAGGTTTATTAATGAAATTCGTGTTAGATCGATAGATATGTTTAATCAAGAATGGAGTTCCACCTTAGATTCCATCTCACGATATGAACATTACAGGATCTTTAAAATGCTAGTCCAGCCAGAAAAATATTTACCAATAATTACAACATATTGTTTAAGAACAATGTTCGTAAAATATCGTTTAGGTTTCTTATCTTTGATGATTAAGGAGGGTAGAACAACCTCTGTCGAGAAAGTTGATATTGTCCTTATTGTAACGTAGGGATAGAAAATTAAATTCATTTTACACTGATATGTCCTTGTCATCATGAATAAGACCAGAATATATACCAGATCATTTTCTTGCAAAGCATATGCATATATATCTTTGTTACAAACTCATAATGAAAATATTCTTGTTCAATCGTCATTGTATATAAATCATGCCTTAGCAAAAGGAGATCTTCATATAAAACGAATGATATACCCTTAAATATATATGTAAATATCCAAAATATTCCTTTATCACTGTAACTCTCATTTATTTCGGCCGGAGGCCTTTCATACAATAAACAACTTTTGACTTGGAAAACAACAGGATGCAACAAAATATAGTTTCACCAGCATCAAAGAGTTTGGTGAGAAACCCAATTCTTGAGTTTCAAACAGTATGCATTACACACAAGCATTGTCACTAAGGTGACATAATCTCCCGCCGCAAAGTATCAAATCAAACGTAAAAAGTAATGGAAGTGACGGCTGTCTTTTAAGATGAAGTCAAATGTCAACAAAAGCATTGCCAGTCAACCTGCACCTTCCCAAGATGATGCTTTGTGTCAAATATGACGAAAATACAGTGAATCGTTTGTGAGATATCTCGCCGATAAGGTGAACACGTACGTTAACAAACTGAAATATTCAGTGTGTCGCTGTGACCTTGAAGAATACAATAAGCTCACCAAAATCGACTGGGTCCTGCGCCTTCCCTAGACGAAGTTTGTTGTCAAATCTAAAGAAAGTCCAATGAACGGTTCTTGAGAATGTTCAAAGTGTCGCCGTGACCTTGAAAACTATATGAAGGTCACTAACATCAACTAGACCCTGCGTCTTCCCAAGATAAAGCTTGGTGTCAAATATAAAGAAAATCCAGAGAATGATTATTGAGATATCTCGCTGACAAGGGTAAAACGTTAACTCATTAATCCCGAGAGCCACCTCACTACTCAACACCAGGAATCACTCGCTGATTGCCCGGCTCCCTGTGGCGAGGCTATTTAGTGCTATTCACACTTGATTTCCCTGGCAAGTTTCGGGGATGACAGGAAACTGTCTAGTCGTACAAACAAGCTCTGATTGCTTAATTGTGTCGTAAAGATGTATCTTGAAAGAAAGCAGGTGTAAATACATATCATGTATTGCAACGTTTTATGTAATTTTATTGCAAGTTTCTCTTGTAGACCTTTGGCGGCTTGTACATTTATATTTTATCAACATATGTATGCATTCTTTGTATGCAAGAGATGAGACATACATAAAACATTCTCTCTCTCATATCATTGTGCGAGGTTTAATTTTACAAAACATCTATGACATTGACAGACTGTAAAGAAGTATTTACTAACATGCTTTATAATCTTCTACAAAAATTAGCGTCTTTGCCGATACATTTCTAGTGTATACTGAATATTTTAAGGAAAGTACTATTAAGCTAGACTGTGACTAAGATAGAGCACATTCATAGCTTGGCACTTTGTTTCATCTAGATTTAATGCAAAAAAAACCATACGTTACCATACGAACGTACATATAAAGATTGTATAATACATATTCCTTGTATAGACATAAAACAAAGAGTCACGTGATAGGGCGTCATCAAATTTCCCGAATGGGACGTTCGGTATCTCAACTGTTCAATATAGTGGCTGATCATTTGTTATCTATGACCAATCGTATCATGATATACCTGTCACAGAGGAAAGGACAGGTGATGGGGCGTGGGCGAAATTTCTGAAGACCGCGTTTGGTGAGGTGAGGTGAAATTGGGATTTACGTCGTACTTGAGAATATTTCGCTCATATGACGACGTGCATGCGTGTATATGTGTATGTGCGGCTGCTTGTACTAGCCCAGACTTAAGCTGGTTTTATAGTGCTAGCCCACTGAGATACCATGCCGCAGTGAAGCATAAATACCCCACTCAGACACATTATACTGACTCCAGTTCTTGTTGTACCCATTAATGCCGAGCGCCAGACAGGGACCAACAAGTACCGTATGTTAACGTCTTTTGGTATGACGCGGTCGGGGATCGAACCCACGACCTTCCGATCTCCGGGCGGACGCTCTAACCACTACACCACGGAGGCGGTACCGCGTTTAGTCACTCAACAGCTTGGATAGAGATTGATTATTGACTATATCGTTGACCAGTCGATATGCTGGGTTTCGGCTCTATCAACTCAAGCTATCATGTAACAGTTTGTGTATTGTAACATACATAATCGTAACGATGTATGAAATAATACACATGAGACAAATAGGAGTAGATAGATCTCAGAGATCGAAAACACGTTTTAGTGTTTTTCGATAAGTAAAACAAAGCGATTGAAATCCAACCATTGAGCAGAGATAGTATTTAATTTCATATACATTTTACGCACACAACTAGTACATAAAACATAATGGTTTGCAGTACATGTAAATATAATGTTCACCTTGATACGAACGAATATCCAATTAAAGTACACATATTATAGAATTAAAAAAGTGACATGATACTGAATTATACTATATAAACTTGCAGTTGAATCCCCCCCCATATATTTATGAAGATGGGCGTGCCTATATTTATACTGAATGCAAACGAGGTTAATAAGATTACAGATGTGCATGTATGCATAAAGAATTACAGGGAGGGGCGTGACTCCACAAAGCTGGTTGTCCAATGATATAACAGCGCATCTGGTTTATTTTACTCTTGTCATGGGACAAACCTTTCAACAAGGACGTAACTACATATGCATTCTACCGGAGGCTGTTATTTCAAGGTCGAAAGAGGTGTTCAATTATCTCATTAGTGTAATCTGATTGAATGATTATACGCATGTGTATCGAAACCGTAACTGATATACTATCCTGCTTTTATTGACGATGGATCAATAGAGACTGAATTCATTGATACAGGTGATAATTACATCGGAGCAGGTAATTACAGAGATCAAATGCAAACGTTTTTACACAATCCTGATGTAAATTGCATAGAAAACTGACAATTCAAACCAACATGAAACTTTCAACAGCATGAACAAAAATGCTTGAAATACCTTTGTATGGTTTACATGTAATAACTGATGATAATACTTCTGTCTATGTCTAAGATTTTGTTAAAATACCAACTTACTGTGAAATACACAATACCATTATTTACTAAAAAAGTGTAATCCCGAATATAACATATGTTGCCAACTTACTTTGTTTTGTAACAAACGTAGTAAAAGATTTCATTGTTGTAATAACAGTGACATGTATATAAATCGATGCAAAGGCGCGAGTTATCACATTGTATTCGATTAGGTAACGTTATCAACTTTAGATTATGAAAAAATTAATAGTTACAATTCAGTAAGCTTTAAATTAGTAACTTTATTGATGTCTAATCTGTTCGAGCTTAAATGTATAATTATTTGTTGTTACGATTCATTATATGAAGCATGACAACGTAATAATGCCTAAAAAGTAATTTAAAATATTCTATTGTGTTTGAGTTCTTTGTATGTCGTTCGTACCTTGTTTCGTATTTATTAGGTAGTTTAAGAAAATATATTCTTCAGTAACCTCTAAACCATTACATCTAATTTATTCAATATGCATAAACTAGTACTTTAGCATCCACTCCCAATGAAGAGTACCAGACACTTACCTCTGTAAAAATATCTCACAATCCCCTTTCTCGCCGAGGTGTGTTCATACCAAAACTCTGATAATGATTAGTAATTGCTATCAAAACACTTCCTGTGATCAACACTAAAGGTAGCATCTCACGTAGGAAATGCTAACCTTTGCTCAGTACTTCTAAAGTGGTTGAAATAATAGGTATATTGCAATTAAAAACTGTAATGGCACACATGTGCGTCACTCGTTGAATAAGAGGTGATTTCTATTGACGAATATATGCGACTCTCGCTGTGAGAAACTGCCAATTACCTGCCCCATAAACACGTCACTCGCTGTGAGGAACTGGTTAATTTGCTCCATATATGAGTTCACGAGTTAAAGTCCCCTTGTCACCTTGAAATGAAGGTGAGGATCACCAAACCGAAGTGGGACCTTTCTCATACTGTGATGAACCTAGGTTCCACATATGAAAAGAATCTAGTAAACGGTTCTTAAGATATTCCAATTTTGGTACGGCAGAAGGAGCCTATTCTATATCACCCGCTTCGTGCTAAACGCGCGGAAGGTGATAAAATTGAAAATGTCACAATAAAATATGTCACACACCCATTGAAATCACGTTGGTATGGTAACGAACACCTCAAAACCAATCAAAACGTGATGCGCTCACTTCTAATGACGTCATAGAAGTCGCCTTTTGGATACAAATATTCAATACATGCTCAGGGTTCATGATCTAGCAATTCATGTCCCCAAAACATGAATATGTTATCAACAAATAGAATATACTCCCCGAACTCGAACATGTACTATCATTACTTATTGAGACTTAAAAAAGTAGTAAAGTAGATCGGCTATTTGTGATGGCGCAGAACTGCATCTTCAGGCAAACATGCCGTGGCAAAAGAGATGCTAAATCTCTCAATGTCTTAGTCATGGGTGGTGATGGCGTAGGGAAGCGTACTCTAATTTCCAGACTGATGGATTGCTGGAAAAAGACCGCCACGTCAATTTCTCAACTGGCTACAGATGATATCTTGGGCATTGGTGGAAAGACCCTGGACATACGTACCCAAGAAGCGTCCACGGGTAGAATGTCCTTTCTTCAAAGAATACCAACAAGCGATGTTTACCTTCTGATCTATTCCATGATAGATGATGCTTCTTTTCAGATTGCAGTGAGCATAAGAGAAAGGATTCTGGCACAGAAAGGACCAAACGTTCCTATTGTGTTCGTGGCCAACAAGACAGACATTGGTCAATCGGTGGACCAGATCGAGAGAGTTTATAGGGATCTCAATATCAGCTGTGAATGGGAAAATGGACATGTGGAGATATCAGCTGAGAAAGATGAGAGTGTTTACAAGGTACTGGAGCAAATTCTGAAACGTTACAAGAAATATGTTGGATTAACGTCAAGAACTGAACGTACACCAGAAAATCCATCAAGGTTTCAAGCGTTCAAGAAATTGTTCTTTAAGTAAGTGAGCCGAAGAAACGAGTGAGTGAGTGAGTTTAGTTTCACGCCGCACTCAGCAATATTCCAGCTATCTGTAAGTAATCGGGTCTGGACCCAACAATCCAGTGATCAACAGCATGAGCATCGATTTGCGCAATTGGGATCCGATGACATGTGTCAACCGTGCCTGACCACCCGACCCTCGACGAAATGAAGCATACTGCATCCTATGATAGGAATTAGGAAGTATTTGAAGATAGATTTTTTTCAGCATCTATTATCATTCTCGCTATATGTAAAATACATGTCCTTGTTATATTGTTGCGTTGAAAAGCCACTTAGAGTAGCTGTTATCTTGACGACAATGTGATTGTTTTAAAACTTGTCGTTTTCTCGGTTTCATGTTTGCATTGATGCATTTCATACTCAATTGAACTACAAATAAATCCCCCTCTGTTTCACTTGGATATTTCTTTTGCAATTTAGTTATTCCTCGATGCCTTGTTTGTGAGAATGAGTGAGTTTAGTTTTACGCCGCAACTGAGCAATATTCCAGCTATATGGCGGCGGTCTGTAAATAATCGAGTCTGGACCCGACAATCTGGACAGTGATCAACAACATGAGCATCGAACTCCACAACTGGGATACGATGGCATGTGTCATTCAAGTCAGCGAACCAGACCACCTGATCCCGTTCGACACCTCTCACGACAAGCATGAATTGCTGAAGTCCAATTCTAACCTGGAGCTTCACAGGTCATCTTGTTTGAACAGAAGCTCAAAAACTTAGTTAGCAGGTCTCACACTGGTTCTTATGTTCTAGGTTTCGTCATGGGTATATACTTTCCACTTGTGTTAATTCTGCATAGATTCTTCTGAAGGTTCATTAACATTAATGTCATGTACCGTTTTGTCTTCTACTGAACGGAAAGATGGATTTTAATGGCAGAATATCTGCTAACATTGTATAGTTTTCCTATTGAGAAAACACTCATTACCTAAACCAGTCCAATGTGCTATTGTTTGAGAACTGACTGGATAAACCGAGATAGATATATCAGCTCAACAAGTACAGCCTGCTGTCAGTTTTTGGAATCCTTCCCATACAAATGAACTGATCATTTTACAAGCTCAACGAAATGATCAAGTAGTAAAATTGCTTGAAGATATAAGCAGAGACTTATCAGTGAACTCATGGTCTCTTGTTAAGGTTCATATAAACGGTGATTATATGCCCATTGTGTTTCTACCAAACGGATAGATGGATTTTAATTGCACTATATCTGCTAACTTTGTATAGTTTTACCATTAAGTACATAATTATTACCTGAACCATTCCAAAAAGCTTTTTGGGGAACTGATTGGATAAATCGAGTCATGGGATTAAATAAATGAAGTCAACAAGTAAAGGCTGATGTCAGTAACGTGGACTCTTTTCCATATAAATAAACTGATAAACTGGCCACCACATTATAACACCGATCATATTCATACTTCATCAATAAACTTTGACGGTGTTACCGAATTATTTCAGGTGAGCAATTGACTAGACTTACCATAATTTGTGAGTCAGTGAGTTAAAATTTTACGTCACGTCGGGAATATTTCAGCCATATCGTGACGACAAAAAGTCGTATTGTAAATACATATAGTTATACTTTTTTAAAAAGCTGTCAGCGAAGGCCAGTACAACAACTGGTGTATCACATATAAATTAAAACTAATCTGAGTTCAGTGTAAAATGCTTAATCATTTCCAAACAACACAATGTAAAATTGGGCTATAGATCGCCAGCAACTGAACGTAGATCACCATGCTGGGGACCATTGGGACTTACATTACTTTGCTACCTGCATGGACCCTAGCTGGATTTACATAATATCTTCAGCTGTTGGTGTCCTCCCATTAGTCATACGTCCAACTACTCATACGGATTAAAACTCCACATGGTATGGTTGACTGCACCAACAACTACCTTTGTCATACCTTTGTAAAAATGGAATGATCCAAGAAACAAAAATACAGCTTCACGTCAGTAATCTGTCTTCAGCATGGTATACACACATAATCTGATCTTGAACATAGTATGCATGACCTGTACACTTAAACGGTATCATTAACACATCATGCGTGTTGACAGCAGAAGCAAACGCCATATTAACAGCTCTTAAATATATCAAAAAGACATCCTAAACATAAACAATAGATTACCTGAGAATAGCTTTATTTTTACAGCAGAAGCAAACGCTATATTAACAGCTCTTAAATATATTTAAAGCCATCCTAAACATAAACAATATATATGGTAAGACAGGTAAGTATATTAGCTAATTCTGTTTTTATTCATGTATTTATTTACAACTTTCTTAGTCACGATGTGGCTGAAATACTGCCGATGTGACTTTAAATTCTAACTCACTCACTCACCACAGACTGTGGCATTCTGTGTTAGAGATTAAACTAACCTCAAGATCTCAAATTAGCCGGCTAGTCCATTTTGCGCTAAGGGTATATGCATGTTGTTTTAATTAATCCCTCATTGGCTGTATGACTAATGAGCGTATGACTAATGGGAGTATGACTATTGGGATACGACCCAGCTGTTAGCGGATTTTGAGCAATTTAGTCATAAATTAAATCACAAACATTCTATGATAAAAACTCTGGCAAAGATCAAATACATTGAATGATGTGGTCTTAAGTACCCTCTTCGGCGAACAATTATCTTACGCTACTTCAACTCCCTCTGAGGGTATAGCCACTAACAATCACAGTTATTTATTCATTCGTCCAAACTTAAGAAAAGAACGTATTAATTATAGTACATGACAAAATATAGTGAATCAAATCAATTTCCTTTAAAAAGAACAAGAATGAAATGAGGACTTAAATTAGAACGATCCTTCAAAGATGAAACTGTGAAATATCGATACAAAGTAATGGAAACATCAATACAGTCAAGCAAGACATGCCTGACTGAGAGGCATAATCATGTACTGTGATTATAAAGCTAACATTCGATCCTATATCCGTTCGAGGGTCGTCCCAAAAGTAGTCGGCCTCACCTAGAAAATATTACAAATGCAGCTGTTTTTGTGTTTTATTTTTCAACAACTTATCTGTCAACCTCAAGCAAATTGCTTTTGCCATGTTTCATCCTCACGATCCCCAATTTGTTTGACTCTTTATCTTGGCACCGACCCCACCCCACCCCTCACCCCCCAAAAACACACAAACAAAACAACAAACAAAAAGAACACACACAAAAAAAATCAACGAAAAACAATAAAACCCAACACATACACACACACACACACACACACACACACACACACACACACACACACACACACACACACACACACACACACACACACACACACACACACACACACACACACACACACCCCGCAAAATCTGCAATAAATGCATCACAAACTTCAGGAAACAAAATATGCAAGAAACATTTTGTTTGTTTGAGATACGCAAAAGTCCTCCAGAATCAAACGTAGATTTTAAAGTGCATAAAAATGCAGTTTGAAGCTACAGGAGAAGAAGAAGTTTATTCAGTATTTGAGGCCACATGGTCAAGAGTACAAACATATTATTATTTTATTATTATTGCGGATGGACAGAAAAAACAATGTAATTAGTTCATTTTCATACAGGCAGGTTACGCTTTAGAAATATTGCTATTGACTTGTTAGAGTAACTCAAACTAAATACTGAATGGTCATACAAGTGTCAGCACTCAATAAATTGTATATAGTGGCAGCTTCAATATCTGGATATAACGTTTTGAAAGATTATAAAAACAGTGCCCCTTGAAACAGCCAAAGCTAAATATAAATCAAGCAATCCAAATCTGTGAATGTTGATTTTGGCTGGAAGTCATCCAATACTGTAATGAAGATATTTTATATGATAATATCTGAGGGCACACCATTATCCAAGGGGTACAAGAACTATCCAAGAAATATTATACCCCAATGTGTTGTGATGACTAATATCTCGTTAACCACATTACCCACATACGTGAAATTTTGGGTATGGCTTTGCTAATGATTCCTTCAAAATAAAATCTGACATTGGACAACGATAATATAGTAAGGCCGACTACTTTTGGGACGCCCCCGTAACCTGATGCAAAAGAAGTGGGACACCCAAGTGGAAATCAATAAATTACATCAAATAAAACCAATTATCGGTTAGACCTACTTGGGTTGTCAGTCCAGATTTGAAAAAGGTCATGATGCGGCGATATCGTATTGGCCATGCAAGATATACTCATGAATATTTGTTAAAAGGTGAGGATCCTCCGTTTTGTATCCCTTGTGATGAGAGAATCACGGCCAAGATTGTCTTGCTTGAGTATTGATTTTTCCATCACACGGGATAAGTATTTTCAATGTCAAAACATTGAAGGATCTTTTCAGTCTGAATTATCATTTAATTATTGGATTTTTGAAAGAAATAGAGTTATTACATAAATTTTGATTAAAGATATGTAATACGTTAAGTCCCAGAGGTGGAACAAGAGAAGACTTCTTGTTGTACAAATCCTCATAGAGGGGATTGAAGACACAGTTATAAGCAGGATTTAACTGGATATTTTTGTGATATATTGTGAAGTAACTGTTAATTTTATACGGCGTTGGGTAAAAGATGCCTCGTCTGCCTCGACGTAGAGACTATCAGAAGAAGTTTTATAGGACCCAAGACAAAGTCTTAGATGTTGGTGGTGGACAGAATCTAGTGGGTTCAGGCTGCTTTTGCTGGCACCACCATATACAATGGAGCCATAATCAAGTTTCAGTTGTTGGCGATCTACAGCCCATGTTTCATATTGTATTGTTTTCTTTAATCAAAATCTTTTAGTTTGATATGCTAGTCTTATGTTCATATATGTGATATTCTAGTATTTTTACTGTTCATCGTCGACAGGTTTTACTCTTCAAAATGTTTTCATTTTTTATTGTATAAATTGTTTTCGTTGCGATATGGCTGAGATATTGCCGATGTGA